TTTCCCACTTTCTGTTAATTCCACAGCCAAGGGGTCCTTGAAACTTCTGGGTGGGTCGGGGATGGGGTGAGGAGGGTAGGTGGGAGAGGGGAGACAGGGAAGAAAGAACACACACACACACACACACGAGAGAGAGAGAGAGAGAGAGAGAGAGAGAGAGAGAGAGAGGGTGGGGTGAGGAGGGTAGGTGGGAGAGGGGAGACAGGGAAGAAAGAACACACACACACACACACACACACACACACACACACACACACACGAGAGACAGAGAGAGAGAGAGAGAGAGAGAGAGAGAGAGAGAGAGAGAGAGAGAGAGAGAGAGAGATGAGTGACCACCAGAGGGCACTGGTGAGCCACGGCAGCCAAGGCCGCCCAGTGTGGGAGGAGAGCAATGCTCCGGGCCACCTCCACAGGCCTGACGCCTACACTATTCCCCCAAAGCTAGCCCGGGCAGGATGCAGCCATGCAGAGCCCCTGACCTAGGCCAGTTCGGAAGATGAAGGGGATGGGTCTAAAGGCAGGTGCTCTTCTCCTTTGAAGCCTGGAGGCAGCACCCCTGAAGAAACCTATTCAGCACTAGGCCTCTGCCAGGGCCATCTGTGGTCCCTGAATGCCAGTTAGGAAAGAAGCCCCTCTGGGCCAATGCTGTCCCGTGCCTAGGCAAGGCACAGAGAGCAGGACGCAGCTGTATTCCAGCCTGCTCACCTCCTGGCCAGGACCCTCGTGCAGTGCACTACCCACACCACTGTCCCTGCCATGTGGCTCCTGTACTGCTCACCTTCTCTGCTCCATTGCGTACTTCCTAGTGGGCTCTGAGCCTCCCACTCTCCTTGTCACTGCCTCTTGCAGCGTCCTGAGAGTATTTACCTTCCTTCCACCCTCGACCAGACAGGCGGGGCTGGGCAGACTTTTAGAAACATTGCAGACCCTGTGGTGGGACTCAGGCAAGCGCCTAACCATAGAGCCCACAGTGAGGGCCCCTGGGACCTCCAGGACTCCAGCTCCTATTGGGTGTTTACCAGGGACCATGCAGAGAGCACACCCCAGCCTCTGATGGCCTCCCCATGTGGCTGGGGCTTTCCTGGGGCACTTCCTGCTAGCCCTGGACTCCCTCCCCCCAGGTGTCAGCCAGGGTCCCTGGCCAGCAGAGCAAGGGAGAAGGCCCACTGGCTGGGCTGCTTCCAGAAGTTCCTGGCCTACATGCTGCTGTCGGTGGCCTGCTTCCTCCACCCTGTCCTGGTCTGGCACGTGACCATCCCAGGTAGGAGCGCCGGGTGGCCTGGAGGGAGGTATGCGGCCCCCACCACAGGTGGGCTCTGATCAGGACAGGCTGAGTCCCCCTCTCATAGTCCTGCTCTGCACTGGCTCTGGCAGGACCCCCACAGCCCCACTGCACTCTGTGACCTAGAGTAGGGATAATGGAACATGCTGACCACATGGCAGGAACGACCCAGGAAGTGCATTCTTCCTCCACACAGCCATCCAGAGGCCGCACCTCAAGGGTGCCTTCCTGCTCACAGGCCACGTGTGGTCCAAGCTTTCCAAGGGTGCGAGATGCTCAAACCCTTCCACATCTCCCCAGGGCCTGCCCATTCACATCCAACCTCTCCCCCTGGTCTGGAAGGCACCCCATGGTGGGACCCACAAGACCTTTGCAGCCTCATCTCCTGCTTTCACTCGTCTTGTTCACCTGCTGGTCAGCCGGCTCCTGATCACAGAGCCCAGGGTCAGCTCCACCTCTCTCATTTTGTCTGTGACCTTTTCTAGCATCCTCCTCTCCCCTCTTCCCTGTCTATAAGAACAGGGACCCTCCTCAAGATCCATCTAACATATGGGGAAGCTGCCCTTCCGGGAGACTAAGGTGCAAAGCAGAGGCCCCTCGTCCTTCCTGCCATTGCTTTTAGCATACCTGCCATCACCTCTCCAGGTAGACCCCTGAGAAGGACCCAGCCCTGATGAGAGAGAGACATACACAGGAGGCTCCGGCCCCTGCAGGCATCCACGACCACTGCCTCTAGACGGATCTGGGCTCCTGGCAGGGGGCCGAGAGGAGAGCAGAGCATGGCCCCATCCCGCGGACCCTGTGTCCTGGGGGCCACCGGGACAGCATCCTGTGTGGCAAGGGGGCCACGGGGAGCTAAACACGACACCAGCCCCACCCAAGAGATTTGCATTTTCTTCTGAGTTTGCTGGGTGGGAGTTGGGGGGCCAAAGTGAAAGGGGTGTCCCATTTCCGGGAACAGAAGGGAGCCCAGCTCAGTGGTCAGGGCCGGCTGAAGGCAGTGGGTCTACCCCGACCAGCCATCCTGAGAGGGAGGCTGTGCCCATGGGCACGGGGGGCCAGGCAGGTGCACGGGTGGCCAGGCAGGTGGCCGCAGGGCCCAAGAGCCAGTCGAGGCTTCCTTGGTTTCCAAGTGGGGCCCCCTCCTGGCTTAGGGTCAGGGCGAGGGCCCCCGCACAGCACTGGCCCCACTCACATCCCCTCAGGCAGGGTCAGGCTTGCCCCTGGTATGATGTGCACGTCCAGGGACAAGCTGGGTGGGAGGGCTGAGGCCCTGTGGGAAGATGGGCTTGCCCGGCCTCTGGCTTTCTCCCTGACACTTCCTGCATCCTGACCTCCCAGGTCTCTTGCAGGCTCCATGCTCATCGCCACAGGCCTGGCCTACTTCCTCCTGAGCAAGCGGAAGAAGAGAAAAGCTGCCCCCGAAGTGCCAGCCTCCCCAGAACAGTACACAGACCCCTCTGGCAGCGCCGTGAGCACCACTGGCTCTGGGGACACTGAGCAAACCTACACCTTCCACGGGGCCCTCAAGGAGGGGCCTAGCTCCCTCTTCAACCACATGAAGAGCATCCTGAAGGGGACCAGGAAGCCCAGCCCCCTCCCGCCCCCAGACACCCTGATGGAGCTGACCCTGGAACCAGCTGACTCCTTAGCCAAGAAGAAGCAGGTGCACTTTGAAGACAACGTGGTCAGAATCATCCCGTCCCTGGCCGAAGGGCTGGAGGATGGAGACAGTGAGCCTGAGGAGACCACCTCTGACACGACCCCCATCATCCCTCCCCCCCAGGCTCCGCTTTTTCTGTCCTCTCTCGCTGCCACCGGCCTGTACTGAGCTGCTTGATCCAGCCTGGGGGACACTGAGTGAGGGGTCTGCAGAGATCCACGGCCCTGCCTGGAGCCTCCTGATACCTGCAGGCCCTCCCGGGTCTTCGCAGGCCAGCTCATCAAGGGGTTCCTAGACATCCCCGAGGTGCCGAGGTGGCTGATACCTCTGGGGCCATCGAGTGGTGTGACAGGCCAGTTGTTCTGCAGAGGCTGCCAGGGAGGTCCAAGCAAGGCACACAGGCTTTTCCCTCATGCCATGGCTAGGGAAGTCCCTGTGTTTTTCCCAAAAATACCATCACTCCCACTTACACGATGCTGCAGGTGTCACTGCCTTAGCCCCAGAAGAGACAGAGGTTGTACACCCTGGCAGAAGCCGTGGGCTTCCCTTGCTCCTGACACAGAGCCCAGCCCTCAGCAGGGGCCTACAGTCCACCCTCCTCTAATGCAGCGTCCCAGCTCAGAAGGCCCAGGGATGATTGGCAGCTTAAACATCTCAAAGACAGACATTGAAGGTGGCCATGAGTTCTGACCAAGATTTCTGGGGGTGGGGGCAGTGGGCGGTGCCACATTCCCTGTGTGCTCTGCAGCTGGGGCTGTGAGGCAGGAGCTATGGGGCCGCTCGGGGAAATAGTGCCGCTCTGTGCTCTCTGTGGGAAAGCCAGGCCAGCTGAGCAAAGCTCATTCCAGAAGCATCTCCCAGGGCTCCTGCATCCCCACCACACGGGCTCGTCCAGGATTCCAAGTAGATGATGCAGACGAGAAGATGCTGAAAGCTGATGACAGTCTCCAGCAGTGAATGCCAGGCTCAGGAAGCCTGCCCTGTGCAGGGACCAGAGGCTGCCCTGGAGAGTCACACTGCACAGACAAATGGGAGCAGAAGGGGTGATAGGTGGTTTGCTCAAAATGGGAGAGGGGAGGGAGGAGGTAGGAAGGGGGAGAGAAGAGGAAAGCGGGCAGGCAGGCAAGCCTCTGCCGGGGCTCCAGCAGTGACAGCTAACCCAGCACGAACGAGAAATTTGAGTCAGATATTCCTAGCAAGGATTTGCAATATAGTTTTCACTCCTAAAAAGTAACCTTTGGTCCATGAGATGTGCCAGGAGGAGCAGACATTGATCCTCACAGGCAATGGCACTGAATGAGCCAGCACCTCCCAGCCCATGGAGGGGCCCTAGAGCACACACTTTAAGGTGCAGCTGAGAAGTGTGTGCTCATTCTTGTATGCTTTTCAACATCCCCTGCGAATCATTTTGCAAATGGGTGGAAACATCAGCCAACCAGAAGTTAGTATCAGTCTGGTGCCTAAATGCAGCAAGTGTTCCAAGTAAGCAGAGCTCTTCCTGCAGTCACCCAGTTCTTCTCTGAAATCAAGTGTCAAATGACAAACACATTCCTGCAAGCTCCCTATGACGGTAGGAACAGTAGAGCTGTTTCTTTTGCTGCCAGCGAGAAGGGATCTCAGGATCTGACTTGAAATCAAGTGTCAAATGACAAACACATTCCTGCAAGCTCCCGACGACGGTAGGAACAGTAGAGCTGTTTCTTTTGCTGCCAGCGAGAAGGGATCTCAGGATCTGACAGTCCACAGTCAGGGAAGGGTGAATAATATGGGATGTGGGTATGGGTAGTTGGGATGGTGCCCTATTCCTGAGGGGCCAGATGCCCTGGGTAGGCCCCTGTGCACAGAAGGAGCCTAAGTGCAGAGGAGCCAGGGTCTTGCTCCCATCTTGTATGGGAGGAGAATGTGATGGCCACAGGCACCCTCCCAGCACAGGCATGGCAGGCCTCTGGGGAGCCAGATGCTCCCGCACATTAGAGCAGCTTCATCCCAAAGTCTGAGCCATTGGCACCTAATGGTCAGGTTGCAAGAAGCAAACCCGAAAGTACGATGTCAGAGCTGTCCGATCCCATTTAATAAACGCTTCTGTAAACCTGAGTGCTAGAGCATTGTTTTGGATGTGCCTTAGTGGTGAGGTGTGTCTGGTAGGAGTTCCAGGTGACCCCATGCATGTGATTCTGAGATATCTAGGCTTCCTGGTGACTGTGATCAGTCATGGGAGAGTCTGCTGGGTGTGTGGCATTAGAGGATAATTATGATCTTACCTAGGGTGGCAAAGTAAAGCTCACAGACACTCTTAATGCTACCAAAAAAAGAAAAAGAAAAGCTGAGATGGGATGAATAGACCAGAACTCTCATCTCTGTCAGTGGACCAGGCTAGAAAATGGTGCTTCCTCCTAAGCAGGTGAGCACCACAAGTCTCGCTTTGAGTCTCCACCTGAGATCTCTACAACCATGTCCTTATCCACTGCTATCCCTGCAAAGAAGGCATTGCAATGACCCTCATCCTTGCTGAGAAGCAAGGACTAGAAAGGTTGACCCCACTGTGGCCTGCCTCTCTCTCTCAGCAGAGACCAGAGCAGACACTCTGTAGATGTGGAACAGAGCCATTGCAAGTAGAAAGAGCACCAGGCTGGGGACCGTCCAGTCTGCCACTAGCACACTGACTGACCTTGGTCAAGCCCCTTCTCATCTCTGGTTCAGGTTCCCCTATTAAGTGGGAATAACCACAGTGACTTGAGAAGACACAGGGAAAGTGCTTTTCAGACCACAACTCACGAGTCTGTGAATGCACCACATCCCGATTACCCTGGGGTGAGGGCTGACAGTGAGGAGGCACTGGGGAAACCCCACCCTACCTGTATCTGGGGCATGGCCAACGCGGGTCCAAGAGTTCCTTTCTCAATGCCACATTCCAGAGCTTGAGCCTGGATGGGTACAACTGCCACCCCCCAACTTAGACAAAAAGTCATAGTGGACCCCATAATCTTGAGGAGCCGTGCCCCAGAGGTCACACAGTGTGTTTCTCTCTCTATCAGCCCTAAGTTTGTCTTTTTTTTTAGTTTTCTTAAAAATCTTTATTGAGATATAATTTGTATACCATAAAATTCGCCAATTTAAAGTATACAGTTAAATTGTTTTTAGTATTTTCATAATCTAAGTTCACAACATTTTATCACCCAAAAATGAAACCCAACCCGGTGCACCCGTTAGCAGTCACTCCCCACCTCCCCTGCCCTAAGCAACTGCTGATCTACTTTCTGTCTTTATAAATTTTCCTATTCTGGGCATTTTACATAAATGGAATGATATAAATAAAGTGGTCTTTTGTAACTTCATTCACAGCATGACATTTTTGAGGCTCATCCATGTTGTAACATGTGTCTTGATTTCATTTCTTTTCATGGCTGAATAATATTCCACTGTGTGGATATACCACCTCGTGTTGACCCACTCATCTGTTGATGAACATTGGGGCTGTTTCCACTTTCTACCTATAATAATAATGCTGCTGTGGAGCATTCATGTACAACTGACTTTTTCATTTCTCTTGAGTTTATGCCTGGGGTGGAATTTCTGGGTCACGTGGTAACTTTACACTTAACTTCTTGAGGGACTGACAAACTGTTTTCCAAAGGAGCTGAACTATTTTGCATCCCCACTAACAGTGTAGGAAGGTGTTGATTTCTCCACCTCCTTACCAACACTTGTTACTGTCTACCTTTTTTATTAGAGTCATCTGTCCATTGTGGTTTTGATTTGTATTTCTCTAGTGGCTAATGCCATTAAGCATCTTTTTGTGTAATTATTGGCCTTTTAATATCTTCTTTGAGAAGTGTCTATTCAAAATGCTTTGCCTGTTTTTTAACTGGATTGTCCTTTTGTTTTGAGTTGTAAGAGTTTTTAATATATTCTGTATACTAGATCTTTATCAGATACATGATTTGCAAATATTTTCTCCCATTCTGTGAATTGCCCCTTCACTTTCTTAGTAGTGTCCTTTGAAGCACATAAGATTTAGTTTTTGTGAAGTCCAATTTTTTTCTATTGTTGCTTGTTCTTTTGTGGTCAAATCTAAGAAACCATAGCCTAATCAATGGACTTTAAGATTTATTTCTATATTTTCTTCTAAGAGTTTTATAGTTTTAGCTCTACCTTTAGATCTATGATGATTTGGGGGATAATTCTTGTGTATGGTGTGAGGTGGCGATCTAACTTAATTCTTTTACATGTGGATATCCAGTTGTCACACCACCATTTGTTGAATTGAATCATCTTGTCATCTTTGTCAAAAATTAATAGACCATAAATGAAACGGTTTTTTCTAAATTTGCAACTCTATTCCATTGACCTGTATCCTTATGCCATCACCACACTGTTTTAATTACTGAAGCTTTACACTAAGTTTTGAAACCAGGAAGTCTGAGCCTCCACCACAACTGTGTTCTTATTTTTGAAGATTGTTTTGGCTATTCAGGGTCTCTTGCACTTCCATATGAATTTTAGGATCAGCTGGTCAATTTCTACAAAAAAGCAAAGTGGGATTTTGATAGGGATTTCTGTGACTCTGTAGACAAATTTGGAGTCTCCCAATCTAGTAATATGCAGTGTCTTTCCATTTAAAGCAATCTTTTTTAATTTCAACAATATTTCATCACTTCCAATATGTAAGTCTCACACTTATTTTGTTAAAACTATTCCTAAGTATTTTATTATTTTTCATGCTCTTGTAGATGAAATTGTTTGCTTAATTTCATTTTCAGACGCTAGTATGCAGAAGTACAATTGGTTTTTGTGTATTGATCAAGTATTTTGCAAACTTACTGAACTAATTTATTAGTTACAGCAGTTTTTTATGCATGTTATCATAATCTACATATAGGATCATGTCATCTGCAAATGTAGAGAGTTTTACTTCTCTTTTTCTAATCCAGAAGCCTCTTATTTCTTTCTCTTGCCCAATTTCCTTGCCTAGAACCTCCAGGACATTGTTGAATAGAACTAGCAAGAGCAGACATCCTTGTCTTTTTCCTGATCATACGGGAAAGTATTTAGTCTTTGACCATTGAATACAATGTTAGCTACGGATTTTTTTTTTTTTTTTTTTTTTTTTGCCTGGAGAACTGCCTTTAGTTTTTCTTATTAGGCAGATATACCTGCTAACAAGGTCTCTCAGCTTTCGTTTCCTTGGGAATATCACTATTTTACCTTTGTTTTTGAAAGGCAGTTGTG